AACCAAGCATCCCGTCTGCACTGTTCACAGCTTCTGTTCTCAGCATCCCCCAACTAAGACTTAAGAGAGTAGATAAACCTGCAACAACTGTGACTGTGTCCCTCGAGCATCACTTGGTTCACAGTGAAAGAGGAGTGGAGCGAGGAAGAGTATGTTCTTCTGGAGATGCTTCTCCCACTCCCAAGCAATGCCAAGAACTAAGGTTTGGCTTCAGGGAAATAACCTTGAAAGTCACTGAGCAGCACTGCTGGCCTTTTGCCCTGGTGACAGCACAGGCGGAGGAAGCCCGCAGAACCCCAGGGACACCCACCCTCCAATCGCATCCTGCTCCCCATCACCACCCCGAGCCACCCAACAGCTCCCTGCATGCAGAGATGCCAACAACAACCGTGAGGCTGGGCACCTCGTGGAGGCACACATGCCTTACATGAGAGGGCGGCTGGATAGGGCAGCTCAAGGATCTGCCCTCTCCAACACAGTTATTGTTTTCCAGAAAATACATCAATCTTGCATTAGCTGCACAGGAACTTTACAGCGTGTTTGCCAAGGATTTGGTCAGGTACAATGGGACATTCAAGGTTGCATTGAGCTGGTGGGACGCTCGATCGCTGATTTGAGTTGTCCCGGCCATGACGTGAGCAGCACATCCACGAGGCAGGTCTCCCGGCCATCACAAGCAGTGCCACGCTCAGCAGCACAGCGTGCGTGTCACGGCAAGGGGCAGCAAGGAACAGGAGGAAGGAAGAGACAGCACAGATAGCTTCTTTAAAAAAAAAACAAAACAAAAAATATATATCTAAACACACTCATAGGAGGGAGGACTTTGGTGCTCTCAAGTCAGACTTCAGAAAAACATAACCAGAATAAGAAGATGAAGAGAGCCTTGTACCTCCAGCATTTTCTTTTATGGACCATTTATTTTTGTATCCTGACATTCTGTAGTTATTTACATGCCTGAATACAGCCTTGCATGTTCTTATGCAGTGTAATATCTAGTGCTTTGAAGAGTTTGACTTCCCAGTGACTATGTTTATCAGCTGTTCCAAGCTTGTTTTGGTGAAATGTTGCAAAAGCACAAAAACAAACACATAAAAACCAATAAACCCAGAGTTTGCTGCAAAGAAGATTTTCAAAGCAGTATCCAGGGATTCAATTGCCACACAGTAATGTCAGCAGCATCATGACCGTGGGTAAACTCCTGCTGATCATTAAACTCCTGGTTACTCCGAGAGCCAGAGTTCAGAGCTCGCCGTGCCCAATTAACTACCTGCCGACAGCCTTTGGAAAACTGTTTCTTTGAAAAGTAAGATGGGAAAGTAAATTGCCATGGACTCAGATCCAGGACCTTCTGCTGAAGATGTCCATGCCCAGCACTGCTCCAGGAGCCCCAAGGAGCACTCACAGCCCAACAGGCACCCGTCTGGCACCACCAGCAGCCCAAACTCTGCCTTCTTGCCGAGATGCCACCTTCACCCGAGTCAGCAGCTTATCGCGCTCACACACCCGCAGCTTCCAAGCCTGCCCCATCAAAGTCCATGCTGGCTAGCTCTTATTTATATGCTATAAATTAAATTTTTATAGGCTCTAAAGAGGTGTGGGTACATTTTACATCCATGCATCCTGAAAAAATAACAAGAAAAAATTTTTTTCCAAGCATGCTGAACAGGAAACAGAAACTATAACTGTCTTTACCTTGCCACTGAAATTCCACACCAAAATAAAAGCTTTCAACCCTGAAGGGGTGCAGAGATTAAAAAAAACAAACTGAACTTTCACCTCTCAAGCCAAGATGTGCAGTAAATATAAAGTACATCTGGGAGCCTGTTCATCTGAAGATATTTTTCATCTCCATACTTCCCGGTTGAAGTAGGGAGAGTCACAGGCATCAAAGCCTCCTCCGTGCAGGTTAAAGAGCGTTTACTTCAAAGAGCTGCAGAAGGGAAGTGAAGATGTCAGGGTACCTTCGGCACTGTCCCAGCATCTTGCTCAGAGATTTTGGGCAGTTATTTCACTCATCTAGCCATAAAGGGAAGGGTAGAGCCTACATGCATACTGTGAACCCTTGGAGGAAAGGCACTGTGGAAACACAATGTGCTGTTTTAAGCTCCCACAGCACCTGGATGTGACCGCAGCGAGCATTTCCCAGAGCCATCCAGCTAAACAGAAAACCACGAGCAGCCAGTTTTGGAGACCTGGAACTGAAGAAGACATCCCAGGGCACCAGGTCCACTCCTCTGCTGCTGCTGAAGTAAATGCTCTTTTTCATTTCTTTTACTGCCCTTCTGGAGCTATTTCACAACCTTTAGCTTCAACCTAGCTTATTTATGACTCTTATGCACATTTCTTCTTGTGACTATACTTTTATTTTAAGAAGTTTCTTCCTTACCCTGGTGCTTCCAGCCAGCCCCATCCTCTCTCTGACTTCATTTTGTTAGGGACTTATCTAAGCTTTCAGTCTCTGCACAGAAAATAGCCTGTTCCCTAATCATCCCTGGCCCTGCTCCAGTTCGAATTTATCTTTCTCAAATGTGGGTGACTGGCTCTGCATAAATTGTTACGGATAAAATGGCAGGAAGGCCTTCTAAACAGCATTAATACTGCTTTAATTTTAATGGGAAGAATTTCCCCTGATTCATCCTGAGACCCCAACTCTTGTCAGTTCCAATTTGCAGCAGAAACTCACAGGTTTAAGTCTCCAATAGTGCAAGACATGGAGTACCATGCTCAGTACCACCTCTGTTTCTCCACCGCCCAAGGGTCAGCCCACTGCTTCGACGTCACGATCTAACTCCCTCGTCATACCACGTCTGCCAACCGTGTTCGCCAGTGTGTGTTCCCAGCGCACCTGTATGCAACACACCAGGCTCACAAAAAGGTTCTTGTTGGTCCACTGTCCCTCTCCATGCTGAATATCACTAATAATCTCTCCTCATCCCAAACAGTGTTAAAAGGGAGCTACTACCACCTTCTCTGTAGGGCGCTCTGTTCCATACCAACTCCTTTCTCAGCTGGATAAGAGCCTTCTGCAGATCGTGCCTGGGTGCTGCACTGGCCTCTTTGTGTTCTTCCCAACCTTCTACTGGCAGCTGTTACCAGGGACTCTTGGGCTACCTGGATTTTTACTTTTATCTAACATGGCTGTTCTCAGCTCACATCACCATCTATGCAGAAACAGAAGAGTTTCCTTACAACCCTGGATTGCAGATAGCCTGTGGATCTGCACTCCTGCTCACCACCACATCACCAGGCAGGCCTCTTTCCAGCACTACCCCCAAAAAACCTTCCAGCACAGCCTTGTCATGTTGAACACCTCAGCATCTCCATCCAGTTAAGCCGATCCTGCTGTCACGTACAGGACCAAGGTGTCTTAAGATAGACCCATACCCCTTAACAGCACCATAAATGCTTATTCCTGTTCACAATCTGCTCTCCAGCAAACCAGCCACCCAGCTGAGCTTGCCATAACATTAACACATAGCATGCATAGGCATTTTTAGCTATTTCACAATTACAAGTAGCTAAAAGGTTTTTTAAACTACAGATTGCCACAAGTCCGTGTATTTAAAACAGCTTTTCCTTTTCTCCTTTTTGGTACAAAATGCAATTCTACAACTCCCTCAGTAACTGGGAAAATATTATTAATAATCACAATATCACATGCTTGAATATTCTAATTAAACCAGCCTAGATCTGGCCAGTATTCAGAGGGACTCCTTGCAAGGCAAAGGCAAGGCAAGTCTGCAGAAAGGCACACGAGGAGCTCTAGCGAGTCATTTTTTGAGCAATAAGCAAACTCTGAAGGCAGTGACTACCAATTATCATCTTCTGTGGTACATCTCCAGCAGCAGTAGGTGTACTCCTGGCCAAAACCCAACTCTAATTATACAGTGTCCACCTACGTCTAAATTTCATCTGCAAGTTATTTTTCATGTTCTCTTTATAAAATGTATTGACTAAGGTTACCGGCACAGAACAACCGATTCCTTCCGTCCAAGACCGGGTACATTTGAAGAATATGACCCAATTCAATTTGTTTTGATCATTTCTCATATTATTTGGACAAAAGGCAGAACATTATTAACCAGAATTGACTAAGTCAAGGAGAAGCTTCCCTGTAAAGAAACAAAGCTAGATATCACATCCAAGTTTTTACCAAGCTTCAATTTCTTAAATCAACGTAGATTGACAGCTAAACCTCCAGGGTCTGTCATCTGCCAGAGATGCTTCCTGCCTCCTTTCTTTGTTCTAAAATGGTTTTATTTGGGCAGCAAAGATCTGATCAATACCAAGACGAGCAATAGCAGCAACAAAACAGCAGCCATTTCCAGATTAAAGTGCCTGGTTATCCACTGGTTTTCAGTGCCAGAATGGAAATACACTACTCTGGATCCCCCAAGCCACATCTGTGAAGGCTGAAGCAATGCTGAAGCTTGTTAATTTGAGAATGCTCTCGTAGTAACAAAAATCAATGCTTTTAAGTCAGCCTTCAACAGAGAATCTGATTTTCTTCCCCCCCTGCTCAAGTGACTGCTGAAGCACCCTGTTTATTCCTCTGCAGCCTGCGCATTCCCTTCCTATTAGATTTATACCAATTTCAAACAAGCCATAACTATATGAAGAGGTTACACAGAAGAAACTGGGGTAAGAGAAAGATTTCCTAAAGTGATGAAAAACAATCCTTAAAATACCATGACACATTGAGAAGGAAGTGTTTTCCTGACTATTCTGTGCAAACCCTATCAAAAGCCACTCAATCAGTTATTGGGCTGAAAAAATAAGTCAGTCCACGATGTAAAAGAGATGAACAGATACCCTGCATCAGCAAATGCCTCCCGCCTCCTCTCTGGGTCACAATGCCTCTCCTTCCTGAACACGCAAGTTAAACATATAAACAGTGTGGGCTTTTTTTGTTTGAAGGGTTATTCTTACTGCTAAACATCCGTTTGATACAGTTACAGAATTAACAACTACATGTTTAAATAAGTCATTGCAATACTTACAGACCAAATAATTATCATCCTTCTAGAAACAGAGTGATCTATGTTCCAGTAGGTAAACGGAAGGAAAGTGATATAAAAAATCTCTTCGCCCAAAGCAGCTGAAAACTTGAACAAGTAGTAGTAGAAGTAGTTCTTCACAATATACTTCTGCGCGCAACCCTGGAAACGAGAAGGTATTTGGAAGTTTTAGTGAATTAGCAAGTTACATCAAACATTTAAGATATTTTAACTGTTACAGTTCCCAGCCCTTAAACCAAATAGTTTGTTGGAACAAGTGTCAAGAAATGGAGTTCAATTTTTATATTAAAATGAAGACTACAATGATAGCTCAGCTACATTTCCCACAGATCAGAGATCTATTCAAACTAATTAAGGGTGGAAGTCACAATGACGAAGATTTTCAAGAGATCAGATCAGTCTTTCCTCCAGGGAAATCAAGCGTATTTCATTAAAGGGTACTGACGCGTTAATTTTGAAGTTTCTACATCTGCAGCTAAAGAAAGTCGACACTGCTTTCACTGGAAACGTGTTTTGAGATTATAAAAGTAAACTGCAATTACTAAACAATTTCATTTAAAATTTGCCTCATTAGAGCAGGCAAAAGTTTACCATGCTAGTCCCTGAAATTCACTATCGGGTGCTGGTGGCAAGAGCATCCCCTGCGCTGCCCTCAACACTGGGATCCTCCGACACCGCGCTGCCCATGGTGGGATGCTCATTGGGCTGCCCCGTGCGAGCTGCCACAGCCATAAGCTGCAGCCCATACATGTGAGCTGGCTCAGGCCTCACTGCCAAGCAAGCTCATTCCAGGGAAACAAGGCTGTGAGTGGGCAGAGAGAAGAGTTATCGTTGTCATCACCAAATTTTCACTCCAAGATCTTTAAGTGACAACAACAGTATCAGATGACACTGTTTAGGACTTTATTTATTCATTTTATTAAGCTACAGATTTCACTTTTCTCTGGATTTGGCAGCTAGCTGATTTCATCAGATGTACCCCACCTAACACACTCATTCCCTCTCTTCTAAGAGGCTGCAACCAGCGTCCCAAAGTTGGGAAGCCACACAACAGCGTATACTATTAAGGCCATGACTTTGGTCACTGGTGGTGAGGTTTGCTATTGCCGCTGCTGTTTGTGACCAGTAGACCACTAAGAAGCCTCCCACCCCATTAGCAGGGGCAACGTGCAAGCGAATCACATTTTATATAAACACCTGTACACTTCAGAAAAAAAGGAGGCATTCATATGAACAGGATTTTTGATTTGGGGACAGGAACAAGAGAGTCAATCTAGTCTCTCTCCATCTCCCAAAAAAATCCAATGTAAAATACAGAAGTTGGCTGTGTAAACAGGAGATGAAAGAATTTCCTAAAGATAAGAGCTGAGAAGGGATCATGATAGTTTAAGCATAGACACACTAAGTTAAGATATAGCTTTGACATAAGCTCCTAAAGCTCTTCTAACGGGAAAACTATTATGCTTGAACTGTCTGTGCACCTAATCCACCAGAAAGAAAAACCTCATCCTACATGCTAGTGAGAAAATGTAAAAATTGTCTAAGGAGTTTAGACATGCAACAGTGACTTATTGTAAACGCAATTAGAAGTTCCAGTCCCTCAATCTGCCTTCAATATGGAGATGAGGTAAACTGCACAAAGACAACAAAAGCAAGATGGAAAGAAGTTGCATCCATTCATCTGCCACAAAAAAAAAAAACACCACAAAACACAACTTCTTTACATTGATTTTTGCAACAGTAAACAGAAAATATGAGTCAGCACTTTTGAAACGCTCAGGTGACCAGAGCGTCCCCCCATGTGTTAGTAACTTATGTGACCTCTGTTACTGGCATCCATCCCTCTGAGACAATTCTGCAGTGAGCTACAGCTGGCCGAATGACAGAGCAATCCATCTAAGTGTCTCGAGTCTCCTACGCCAATTCGAAAACACCCCCAGTGCAATTAGCAACTCTGATCCTTCTGCCTGAGATATTAAAACCGCATTTGGCCATACTTACATTGCCCCAGAGAAGTCCTCTTCTGGCATCACTAATTCCTCAATTAAGCATCAGTCTCCAAGGTATTGGTAATTATGTGCTTTAGATCAAAGATGATCAGACATATCCCTAAGGTAACTCTTTTATACTTGGAACCTCATGGGATGGGGGATAAAACTTTCTAATTCCAGTAATCTGTTTTGTGGGGGGAAAAAAAAAAATAGTTTTTCAGGTTCTAAAAGAAATCTGGAGTTAAAAAAAAATTTCCAGGCAGAAAGCAGGGCCCAATCCTTCCATGTGATCTCAAAAAATCTTTCTTTTTCTTTCTTCTTTTCCTTTTCTATCGGAAATCACCCCCCACTTTTGGGTTTTTTGTTTGGTTTAAAAAAACTTTTTTTTTTTTAAATGCTACACCAGCAGTTGTGGGTAGCCCAACATGTGAGGCAGGAGACAAACAGATCATGTCTGTGACACACAATGATGACAGCCACATGTTATGCATGCACAGTATCATAGAATCACTATACTTGATTTTAGGTAGTGTATAGCAATAAAAAAAGCGATGTTTTCAATCATTGTGATCCGAAAGCACTGTAAGTACAGAAAGCCCACTCCGTGCACCTGTGTACCCTGGCCCATGAGAGGTCCACATCCAGTTGCAGCAGCGCCGATGTCAGAGCCCGGAAGTCAGTTCACGTTTATTGTTTATATCCACTATTTCTGCAGAAAGCAAAGATTACTGTGCTTTGTGAGGTGCCTTCCCTTTTTATTTTCATTCTAATCCCAATGTGCAGGAAAAAGCCATTATAATTATTTGTGTGAATGTTTAGTATCTCCTAGCATTCTCAGAAGTTTATTCAATCTCTACTTTTAAATAAGTCTCATCTTTAGACTTGTTTATATTTAATGTACTGAGGTGACCTGAAGCCTTCCATCCATCTCCATTGCTATTGGGTTGGATCAGAGAGGTTTTAATGGGCAGTTATTAAGGCTGTAGAGAAAGTCAGAAGTTTAAGAACATTTCAGAAGCAAGGTGTAATAAACCATGGCATCACAGACACAGAAAACAGGTAATTTCACACACATGACCCTTCTCATCAACTATAAGACATCTATTTTGAAAAAACTTAGCTGCTCAAGTTACCAGAGATTCACACATTCATGTGAGTCTCCACAAATCAAATACTCACCTGAAGTACTGGCACAGAAAATGGCTCCTGTAGATCATCCTAATTTTTGCAATCTCTGCACACTGCTCAGGGGTGAGTCACCCACTCCCAGTGCTGTCCCACGCACACTCAGGGGTCTGACTGCAGCCCCTATGCTGCTGCAGTACCCACCCAACCTCCTCCAGAGCATGGGAGCATCCCCAAAGGTTCCCTGTGGAGCAGGGGCCAACAAAGCAGATCAAACCACCACCATGGTGACTCTTGGGAGACACTAACACATGATGACTCAGTATAGCAGGAATCCAGAATTTTAAACAGTACATACACAAAGAACATTTAGCCTTTACTTCATAGCTGCAGTAAAGGAATAGCAGCTGAACCACTAACATAATGGATTTAAAATATATTTTAAGGCAGAGGCATACCTCACACAAGAGGGGGGTGGGGAAAGAGGCTGTATAAAGATACCACTCTCCTTCCAATTCCTGCAGGATCCTCATCAGAGCACTCAACAGGCACCTGCTTTCCCTGCCCTGTCTCCAGAGACAAGCTTTGCAGCATCAGACATCTAAGGCTCAGAGCCTGACCCAGAGATACCATTAACCAACATTTTGTTCTCAGCTCTCAATTACTTTGGATCCTTCAGGAGACGTGCACGTTTAATTAAAGTTCTCAAAATCGTTACATTGCTTCCCTTTCAACAGAATTGCCTTGCAGAAGTTCAGAATTTCCCTCCCAAAGCCCCTAGTTAATGCACCGCAATACTTCTCACTTAAGGGATTATTTTTTTTTTTATGTGCTGCAAAAAAGGCACAAAATTGAGACAAGCCAAAGACCAGGCACAAGAAATAAAGCCAAAAATTCCCAATTAGATGCTGCTGTATACAGAGACAATATAAACCAGACAATTCAGTCCTGCAGTGCAGTACTGAGTGGAATATAACCGGTGGGGAAAAAAATTCTTCAGTTTTGCAGTATTCTACATAAGCAGTCAGTTTTAAGTAATTTCTATGTTTATTAACTGTATCCAATTAATAAAACAACCTATCAAGTCATACCCAAAAATCAGGTATCAGTGATCAGATTTTGGAAAATAAGAGAAAGCAAAACCCATGATATCAAAGACTTTAGCTCTTCCATCCATCTGCACAGCTAAGCGTCAAATGACTTCAGAGTTTTCTGAAGGTCCAACAGCCAGCTAAGAGCAGCCAGTAACATCTCCAGCACCTACACGTTCACCTCCCCTGGGAACTCACGGCTCCAAGAGGAAAGAACAGGGTGGCCAGGGAAAAGGGGCTGTACTGCAGTGGGGGACCCTGGTGCAGCCATGAGCCCCTCGCAGGGAGGGGTTGGAGACACAGGACAGGTAAGGTGAGGAAGGAGGTGGCAAAGAAGGAATACAGACATAAGGAAGAAATTGCAGAAGATGTCAGACAGCAGAGGCGATAGCAGTGGCACACAGAGCCCACAAAACGCACATCGGGAACCCCAAGGCATGAAAAACTCACCTAACCAAACTCATATATATGTGCAGCTTCCCACTCTGTTCAAGCACTTTTAACCAAGTAATTCTTTTCTACCCTCTTCGGAACAGGATGCAGCCAGTTAATAGGAGTTGTCCAGGTTTACGTAGTGTCCTTGACGTTGAAGAGACACCTAGAGCTAACTGAAACCTGAGAACGGTGGGGATGGAGAGAAACAGAAATCATGAGAAAAACCTCCTTCAACGCCATGAAGTTCTGGCCAGCTCTGCTATTAGCAGAAAGGGCTTGTTGACTAGTACACAGACAGGCAATGTCCAACTGGCAGCTGTTGTGCAAGCATGTACAGTGGCATGCACTAAGGGCTTAATGAGTAGAGACACAGCCTTGAATCATCATTAGATGCAGAAGCAAGGCCATCGCTGCATGAGAAGATACAACGCACAAGGTTCAAGCCAGGCAATCGTAGTACTTTCCATGGTCTTAGGCAAAGAACAAGCAGGGAGTCTAAGAGTCAGGCAGACTTCCGGTAGCATTTCAGTACTTTCTTAATTCATTCAAAGCACTAAAAAAGGCCATTATGTAAAGTTCTCAGCAAGGTACTAGAGCAGAGTGGTGCTGCACAACCAGCAGCACTGGAGATGGCTGGAAGCTGCTGGGCTGCAAGAGGCCACACTTTGCAGGACCAAAGGCTAAGACCAGTCTATTGGGAAACAGGAAAGATGTGTCCAGGACACCCACCAGCGCTGCCACGCTGGTCATGGTGCTCGTCCAATCCATGTCTCAAGTTCATCACATCTTACACCAGCGCATCTTCATCCAAAGTTTCCCCTTCAGACCACAAAGGATGGTCAGCTGAGATAGACACGCACACCTGCACGATGCACACGCATGCAGCACACCACAGCTGGACGGGTCCAGGACATAGTTAAGACACCTCAGGTTGTCCCTGAAGATTTCATTTTTTAATCTTTAAATTATTTTCCCTTCCACTCTGATCAATGCTCATGAGGTAGACTGAATTACAGGTTATATTTCTATATATCATTCTTGAAGTAACATAATTAGCCCTCCTTCCTTCTGCTGAAAGAACATGAGTAGAGGTAACAGAATCTGCCAAGTCATTTAAATATAAAGTGGAATAAAATAAGACTAGAGTTAACAGAGCAGTTGTTTAGGTAGTTAATGGGAAGAATCAATACAGGAAAAAAATGATTATGTCATCTTCCTAAAAGAAAGTCTTCTTAATTAAAAATAAAGAAAAAAAGAAAAGCCCATAAGTCTTTCAGAGACATAGGGAATGGCTGTGAAGGAGGCTGGGATTGCTTGTGAAGAACTATGCCTACAGTCAGCTGGAAGGATGACCTCGTGTTTCCTGAAACACAGCCTAACCAAAGTCTAGTCCAGCTTGTCCACCAAGGACAGAGGGTTTACACTCATCACTGACAGAAGTTTAACCTGTCCTTACCAACATCGATGGTGGAGGTTCTGCTGCTTGCTCCAGGCGATCTCCCAGTGCTTTGCTCTCCTGCCACCTAGCCTGAAACTTTCTTAATGAAATTCAAACCTATGAATATTTTCTCATCTGCTGCAGACAAGGAAAGAATTGTTTCCTTCCTCTGAAGGCTGACACAGGAGAAGCTTGTTACAAGCATTCAAAAAGGACATAACTGTCCTCTCCCAGTGCTTAATCACCTGGTATTTCTTGAAGAAGGTATTTAGCATTTTCCAGACACAGCACTTAACAGGCCTGTCTTGAATTACGGTGCACAAAGATCAGACATGACACAGTAATACTGAAGGAACAGTCCTGCAAAGCTTCACTCATTTTGCAGTAGCATGCCACCATTGAACCATGCTCATCCCATGATCTCCTGTAACCATTTTTTGCCTCCATGAAACCACTACCAAGCTTACTGTGCTGTAATTGAGCATTTATTACACCTGGTTGTTCAATAGGTATCTGCATCTATTGGACAGAAGCCAATTTTCAACCCTACCTTCAACTTGACATGACTATTTGATTTCCGTTCTTGTCCTCCAACCTACATGCAGCTTCTCCTAAATTCATCTCCCAGGCAGCACGACTCTCACACCTACATTTCCAGCTAGTTACTTCCTTGTGGCTATGAAACCTATCCTGAAGAGCCTCTGTACTCATCACTTTCCATCAAAAGGTGTTCTTTGTGGCACTTAAACCTATAGGTCATTCAACTTCATATACTCCTTTTGTAGCAGATGTCTGATTCATGATTCCTTCCAGCTCATATGCTTTGGAGCTTGTGCTAGTTGTTAATAAAAAGGTAAGATCATCTGATCTTCTCCACACAGTAGTCCCATGTTATCAGAATGATGTTTCAGCCCTTTTCTTCCAATATCATTCAGAGAAAACCAAAGAGGTCTACCTTCCACCGCAGTCTTCAGACTTGTGAGCAACCACATATACAGACATATACACCTTGATGCAGAGGGCAAAGCCTTTGTCTTTATTTCTTTGCATGCTCTCATTGGAAAGTTGTCCCTCTCGCGGCCATTCCAGTTGCCCAAGTAATTCCTCAGACATTCAGTTCTTTGGCTTTTGTTTTTAAACACTGATGAGTGTCAACAGCAGTTTCCTGCCAAGAAAGCTGCACAACACCAGCATAAGCGGGGCTGCACGCATCTACTTATTGATAAGCGCTGTGAAGATGGCTCACCTCCTTCATCTTCTCAGCAAGCGACCAGCCCTGCTTTGCCAGCCAGAGGTTAGGCGGGTTGGACACAGCCATTTCAGGTGCCCCAACAAAAGTGATGGGTGAGTTTCCCAGGCGCTTCAGCATCCTCCTACGTTCCTGGAAGAACTGGTTGATTTGTGCAATAACAAGGCAAGAGAGAGGCAGAATAGGGAAGGGCAGAAGGAAAAAGGCTTCCATCCTCCCTGTTTTACAGTGGGCGAACAGGTTTGTTTAATTGCATTTTAATTTGCAATAATTAGTAATTTTGTGAGGTGCACCATGGAGCCTACACCCGAAAGTGTCTGAGGAAGTTATTTTAAGGATTAAGTAGCTGTGGACAGAGCAGGGGAAAAACATGAGTTAAGAACAAAAAAAAAGTAAATTACAGGCGCCTCAGAAGGACGGGGACTCCAGCTTTGAAACAGAGATCAAAAAAATTGCTCTGAAACTCAACCGTGTTTCATATCTCCAAAGGATGAGTGTTACAAAAGTGGTTTTGGATAGAAGGATGTGTCACCCAACAACAGTTTTCAAACTGTACAGCATTAGATGGCCACTCTGCCCACACGCCATCTCCTTGTGAACTCCACCACCTCTTATTTTTGACTTCCTGCCAAAACATATTGATTCAGAGCGTTACTAGGACCTGCATGGCTGCTAGATACCCAGGCTGCTCTCCAGAGATGTGGAGAAGGAGTGGGAAGCCCCTTTTCCCCCAGCACACCAGATTTGAGGAGCTCCCAGATGACGTGAGCTCCTCAACAGAAGCCTAACCTAACCCAACAGAAGCATGCAGGAATGGCCAAATGACCATGGAGAACCAGGACTTAACAGTTATAATTCTTTTCAGAGCAAAAAGCTTGTTCTTATCTAAAGACTTGGTTTTAGAAATTACCTATAGCCTGGGAATTTGACACCATAGATCAGTCACATATTCCTACTCAGCAGCATCACGAATCCAGTCAGCCTGCTTCTGCACAAAGATCGGTTCCATGGTGGAGGTCTATTTTGAGGGGCACAGAGCAGCGAGGCTTCTGGAAGATAAACGAGCAGAGTAACGCCACCTCATTTTCAGACAATTAAATTATTTTTTTTTCATCTGTTGTGATCTGGCATGAGCACAGAGAGAAGTGACTGTTTCCCCAGCAGATAGTTCCAGGATTCAAGTCAAAGAGCAGTTTTCTAAGGCAGTGCCGAATAAGGCTTCGGCGTAAGTATCATCACAACTAGGCAGAACCCAGGTAGATGCGCTCCCGGAAGGCAGAGACCACTGTAAAGGGGAAGGAGAACGCAGTGTTCAAATTGCCGTTGTGACTGTAGAGAGGATGTTGGAGGACACTTCAGCAGCTAGCCAGTCCCTGAGGATGAGAGCCATAGATAAGATGTTCTCAATTCACTTGGTGCCTCATTATTAGCTGCAGTTAGTGCAACCATACCGACGTCACCTGTTTCTGATGGGGAAACACACAAGGAGACCAACATGTAACTTGACTTTGCTAACAAGTGCTGCTTCAAGGATCTCTTCTGCAGCTGCAAGGGCAGGATCTCCTACGCCGCTGAGCAGCTGACTGTGGCCAAAACCGCCTTGGCATCCCGGCAGCCTCCACACGCCAGTACTGCTTAGCACAGCGCTACTTGCCAGGTTTAATACCTAAATACTTCCATCTGTGCCAGTTCACTATTCACTCTGGCACCCCTCAGGTAGGGGTGACATTGGCATCACAGCCACCCTGACGTACACACCCCCTCCTCCTCCCTACACCCCTCTTAAGCTTTTTTGCTTATTCCATCCTCTGCTTGGAGCCATATGTCCTGGCCCATGGGCCTTATATTTTTCAGGGAGCAGGTTCCTTGTTGCTAATGCCTCGGAGCCCTTTCTCACACAAACATTCGGTGTTTGTTCTTTTGTGGCACGACTGATGTGTCTGACACCATCCTCTCCTGTAAAATGCAGCACTTCAACACTCTCCCTTTGCACAGAGAAACGTCAGTAGGGAACACCGAAGGCAATACACCCCATTAGACCAGTTAGCATAAGCACGCAGTTATAACTACATCAAGTCGAGTTAGCTGCAAGGGGGATGACAACCACTCGGTCTGCTGAGACAGAACAACCACGCGCCAGCAGGCTCAGGGAACTCTCTTAGCAGCAGTTTGCAACAGCCAGTTGTCTTTAAAAGGAAGGATTAAACATACTTTTTTATGTCTAGTAATAGATATTCACAAATACAGTAATACAATAAAATAGTAATAAATTAGCAACATAACCCTATATTAAAGCATTCATGTACCTCTAAATCTAGATCTATAGTAGTTTACCTCGGAAAAACAAGTTACAGGTGCTAACTATACTGGACTGATACAAAGCCTTATAAAGCAGGAACTTGAATTGCCATTTTAAATAAAAATCTCGTGGTTTAGGCAACACTATCTGTACATTCTAGACCTTAGACTTACTTGCCATAGCAGTCAATAGTCACCTTCCGTTGCCCAGATGACCCATAAATATCCCCTGCAGAGCATATGCTTGTATGCATGAGGTAAAGTAAAAGAACTGGTTGTTCAGAGAAATTTTCTAGGGAGAATAGATTTTCTCTGGCTCATCGCCCATTAAACCTACTCCTCTTCTCCAGAGGACCAAAGGAGAAAAATGATGGCAGATGAGCTTTTGTTCTTCTGGTTGATATCTGAACTAATGGCCTAAGACATTCAGCAGAATTATAAAACAGTAAGTGGCTCACCTCTAAGTACTGGAATTAATCCTAGGATCCTGACAGCTCCTTATTATGAGGTCCAGCAGCCTCCAAAAAGATGACTCAGGCTGTGAGCCGTGAAGCGCTGAGTCATAAAGCACCCAATCATCACCATAACGACTCAGGCTCCCAGTGCAGCCCCTCACATGCCCCCTGCTTCGCCAGCAGCAGCTCCCCCAGCAGCAGGCACCACGCAGCCACGCAGGACACTTATCACAGTCAGCAAGCGGAGTGTCACAAGCTTTTGTTAGCATCAGGCGTTCCTGCAGCAAGATCCAGACGATGATCAGGTACCGGTAATAAACAGCACGTGCCTGGCTTTGCTGCCTGTTCTCCAGAGGGTATGCTGGTCTTCTCGCTGAGGAGCAGCAAACCCAGCACTAACAGATCTATGCAGGGTTGCCACACACTGCTTGAACCTTGGATGTGACTGTACTGTCATCTTCCAAAGGACCATCACTCATAGGTCTGGCCAAAACCGTTCGACGAAACTGCCTCACTCATACAGACTAACAAGATTATTTACCAGCTCCTTTCCATGGGAACCTTAAAACAAAAATTGGACACGTGCAAGACAGGGAAGCTTCCTCAGTAGCTACACTGGGAGGGAAGAGCTGAACATGAAGCATCAGAGCAGCAGGGGCGACGCCAAGGAACATGAACCTCATGCTCAGCCTGTCGAAATAAGAAACTGGATCTCATGTTTCTCCAGCTGCAGCTCCACACTGAGGAACTTCCAAAAGTTCAGCCTGTGTTCTCCAGGAGGACAAAGTAGAACTTTTGTAGCACAAATGCCTTGCTGCCAACTCTCCTAACGGTGCTAGTGGGCTTTTCTCTCAAGGGTTTGTCTCACCTGAACCTGCCTCAGCTACTGTCAACTTACTGGTGCATGGAAAGGGAAACAACATGAAACCGAGTAAGCCAGTAATAGGATTTAAAAAGGAAAAGCAAGACTGACGCTGATGCAAAAAATCTACTGCAAGGGAACACCACAGAAGAGAGACCTTGACTCAAGCTCTAGAGCAAGTCTACTTCAAATTACCAGACATCTCATCACAGCAAAAGCAGTGCTGTCGTCTATATCTTAATTAACTACATTTTTTGGAGACTGCAATGCATCTGAGATGGACATGCAGTTTTTACCTATCTTTTCCATCTCTGCTACCATCACGTTCTGTTATCCTGGTTATTGGCCTCCTCACCTCAGGTACAAGCAAGAACTACACAATCACTAAACGTGATCGGGCAGTTTGTAAACATAGCACCAGTCCAGAGCAGTTCCGACAGTTAAGGTATAACTACTGAGTAAACACGAACTGTACTCTTTCACAGTCAGGAAGAGAGATCTCTAGAGATGATAAAGCATCTGGGAAGAGGAAGAGTGGAGAAAAAAAACAATCTCTACAGAGAACTTTGAATAAGACTTCTTTTTTCTTTTGTTCCCTTTAGTTCAGGCTATCAATTTCAGGAGTAAAAATCCATCGGGAAGTAACAGATAAGCAGAGCTTCACTTTTTAAATATACATAACATTTATTTGGCCACTCACTAAAAACACTGGACAAGACTTCAGACAGTTAGTGAGTACTTTTAAGTGTGCAACTTGAGGACTTCATACAGAGCATCAGGAAAATATGTCTTCCAAGTAGTTTCAGAAATAAATTCCCTGAGAAAAAAAAAATAATATTAGAAAGAAGCACAGAAAACAAAGAAGTATTAGCTAGAGACAGGATAATTACATGAAGTTACTGTCTTATCTTCCATAGTAATAAAAGTCGACAGTTCCCTCACTAAAAGCCCATGGTCCAATATTAAGTCTAAGCCAGGACATAAATCCAGCTAGCACCATTTCATATCATCCTCAGACATCTCAGTTTTCACTTGAGGTATTAAAAAGTGTTTTTAACTGATCTGGTAACCAAGGGAACATCAAGAACACAGCCTAGACAACTGGTTCAATATTTAAGAAACACACACAGCCCTTGCTATCACAGTTAAGCATTTTGTTCCTCACCATCTCAGGGCAGCTCCTGTGGGGCAGACGGGACTGAATTACAAAGATGGAGAAATACAGCCACTCGTTGTGCTGCTGACCACTATGAGGCCTCACTGACTTCTTATTTTTTTGAAAAGCCACATATAACCTGCTGGTTATACACAAAAGACGACACTGATGCATCACAAGCAGCATTGCTGGCAACAAACACATGCAGTTAATTAAAGGCCACCTCCTCCCAGATGAAGACCTGTCCTGTCTCCTTATCCTCCTGAGGGATCCCCACTCTCTCCGTGTAGTATTGCATCCATCCCTACCAGGTGTGTCCATCCCCTCCCAAAGCACCACCAGCTGCCAGCCCTCAGCTCCCTTTCCCCAGAGTCCCTCCAGCTGGGCCACTTCAGCACACGAAACAGCCCAAGTCAGATTCAGGAGCCTGAGAGCTGGCACA